AAAAAGTTATGAGATATAGCTCAGTGGTAGAGTGCTTACCTACCATGTGTAGCCCTAGGTTCAATCCTCAACAAAAAACAATAAGGGCTAGGGATATAGCTCAGTTGATAGAGTGCTTACCTCAGATGCACAAGGTCCTGGGTTTAGTCCCCAGCACCACAAATAATAATAATAATAATTTTAAAAAAGAGATACACTCATTGAAACCTTAATAAAAGGCTGCATGCTTTCAAAAATGTTATGTACTTTTGTGACACATTAATTTAATTTTAACACATTAGCAGTTACCATCATGATAAATGGGTACTGGGTGTTGTGTTTTTACCTAAGAAGTAAAAGTCAAAATTGTAACCTTCATAAGATGTGGTAATAAAATACTGTCTTTCTCAGTTTTATACAATGGGTTTGGTTGAAAAAGATGAGAGGGGGTTCTCATCTTTAAAGCAGGGAGGGGGACTTGAAATTATTAGTAAACTAGGAGGACTCACCCAGATCTTGGTCTCGGTTCTAAGCATCCTACTTCCTTTTCCAGGGTTTTCAAGTCTTTGGTTCTCCGTTTCCATATAGATAAATGTGTAAGTATATTGAGCACTCTAAAACAGGTTTTAGAAAAAGGATTTATAAGAAAATGCCTGGCACTGTACCTGACAGAACATTTGGTAATATCAAAAGCTAAAGTTTATTGGGTGCTAACTATATGCAAGGACCTGAACTAAGAGTTTGCATAGATTATTACATTTCACAAATCCTTGCAACAACCCTTTAAATTTTACCACTAATCTCATTTACAGATGAGGACCCTGAGGCTTGAAGTGGTTAAGTGATTTTCCAAAGGTCATGAAACCATAAGCCATGGGTTTTGAATCCAGGCAGCTGAAGGCTAGAAATTGCATTTTTTGAAAATATTAAGCACTTACTACCAGGTACCAATCTAAGTCCTTTTGTATGTTTTAATCTATAGAAGCCTCACAAGTACTGTAGCAGGTTGTACAATGTCACTTGGCACAAGGGATGACTTTTGTCTCCCCTCCTTTTGAATCTGAGCTGGCCACAGTATTTTTTAGACCAATAGAATGCAACAGAAATGACACTTCATGGTCTTCAGCCTTAGGAAACCTTGCAGCTTTGCTCCCTTTGCAGGCAGCTACCACATAAAGAAGTCTGGACTTTCCTACTCTGAGAGCCAGTGGAGAGAGAGGAGCCCTGAAGGAGGAGTGGCTCCATGCAGGAGAACCAAAGCTTTCCAGCCAACAGCCAGCATTCACTGCCAGACATGTCAGTGAGGCCACTTTCCTTGTTCCATCCTCAGCTGAGCTTCCAGATGAATGCAGCTGCATAAGTGAACTCAGCCAGCACCATGGAGAGCAGAAGAAATGCCCAGTTGAGCCCAGCCCACCCACAGAATCATGAAAAACAAAACAATCTTTGTGTTTAGTCACCAAAATCTGAGGTAAGATGTCATATAGCAATCACTGAAATGGACAAGGTATATACTACTATTTCCTTATTCTACAAATGAGAAAACTAAGATCATAGGAGAGTTAAGTAACTGCTCCCATTCTGGGGATGTGGCTCAGTGGTAGAGTACTTTCCTAGCATGTGTGAGGCCCTGGGTTCTATCCCCAGCACCACAAAAAGGAAAAAAAGAAAGACCAAGCATATATAAATAAATAACTCATCCAGGATTAGGCCATTGATGAGTGACAAAGTCAAAGTCAAGGCATTCTGGCTTCAGAAGCTATATGAATAACCAATGAGCTATGGTAAGCTGAAAAATGGTCCCTCAAAGATGTCTCATCCTAATCCCTGGTACCTGTTAACATGTTACCTTTCTTGGTAAAACAAGCTTTGCAGATGAAACTATGTTAATGATTTTGAGATTAGGAGATGATCTTGGATTATCTGAGTGTGCATGATATAATCAGAAGGGTCTTTGTAAAAGGGAAGAAACAAGGTCAAAGTCAGAGAAAAAAAGCGATGTGATATGGGGCCAGGAGCCAAGGAATGAAGGCAACCTTTAGAAGCTGGACAAAGCAAGGAAACAACTTCTCCTCTAGAGCTTCTAGAAGGAACCGGCCCTACTGATATCTTGACTTTAGCACAGTGAAACTGATTGTGGATTTCTGACCTCTAGAACTGTAAACTAATAAATGTTGTTGTTTTAAGCCACCAAGTTTGTGGCAATTTGTCACTGCAGCAACAGGCAACTAAAATGCAGAGCCTCTCCTACTTAAAGGGAGCTGTATCCTTTCCATGGGCACAAGCCAGGCCAGTCTCTATTGTCTGCTATCACATTTGGTGTTTCTGACTTCTCTGATTGAAAATCTCTTTTCTCTCCATGCACTTAATTATTTTCTACCCACCTCTTCCAGGAAGTCTTCTCTGAACATCCTAGATGCTGCTGCTCTGTCCTATCTCTATAGCACTGGATGCCTCACAACTCCTTACTCAGCACTTACTAATATCAGTGCTTATGTTCTGGCAGTCAGCCTAGGGACATTCTTATGAGTGTTGTTAAGGTCTGTAAACAAGTCAAAAATAACACCTGGTATTTTGCCAGAGAAATGTTAGAGTTCGAAACAAGTCTGGATGGTGCCTGGCAAAATGCCAGAGGGAGTGGTTTGAGAAGTAACAAAAGCGAGCCATTAAGTGTGGAGATTCCTTATTGGTTGACTGATGTATCTAGTTTATGCTAATTAGATAAGCTGTGCAAAATGTATAAATAGCTCTGTTGTCCTGCAATAAACGGCTCCTATTCCTGCTGCATCAATCTACAGAAGTTATTCGTCACACACACACACACACACACACACACACACACACCCCGTTATTCTGCTGCAGCCGGACTGCGGCAAGTGTAAGTCATGGAATCCAAGGACATCATGCTGGAGAGGCCCTTTGAGAGTCTAACCCTTAGTATTTTGTATAGAAAGACAAGAAGGACACATACCCAAGGTCACATAGCCAGGGTTCAAAGACGGACCTTCTGACTTGATTCATAAGCTCATTCATTCAGCAAGTACTTATCAAGCCCTCACTAGGCAAGGTGCTGGGGAATCATGGATAATCACAAGTAGATAAGGACCCTCCTCTCATAAAGGTCTCCAGTCTGTGAGAGTGATAAACCTTTACACAATAATCACATAGATATATCATTATTCACCATGGTATTAGGAGAGTAAGTTCCCTAGGGCAAGTTGTGGGAGTACAAAATAAGGAGATATTTGAAGGTGGAAAATCAGGGAAGGCCTCTCTAAGGAAAATGATAATTGTGTCAAATGTGAATTAAAGTAAGTAGGGTTAACTGGGTCTTTCTAGGAGTAGGGAAGAAGATAAAAGTTTTTTAGACAGAAAAAAAGTGATGTGTGCAAAGGCCTAGGGTAGAAAGGAACAGAACAAAGTAGGGGAAAGGTCAGAATGCCTGGAGAGTCAGAATGACAGGGAGAGAGGTAAGAGTTGAAGGTCACAGATTTTCAGAAGTTTATAGGTTCAGACCACAATGACTTAAGAGGCGGGGGCGGGGGAGGGGGCGTGTTCTTTTTATTTGTTGTTGTTGTTGTTTGTTTGTAGTGGGGGTTGAACCCAGGGGCACTTTACCACTGAGTTATAACCCCAGCCCTTTTAATTTATTTATTTATTTTAAATATTTATTTTTTTAGTTGTAAGTGGACACTATACCTTTACTTTTATTTTTATGTGGTGCTGAGGATCAAACCCAGTGGCCCCTCCCCCTAATGCCAGGCAAGCACTCTGCCTCTGAGCCACAACCCCAGCCCCCTTTTTATTTTTTCAAGACAGGTTATCACTAAGTTGCTTAGGATCTTGCTACATCTATGAGGTTGGTCTTGAACTTGGGATCCTCCTGCCGCATCTTCCCAAGTCACTGGAATTACAGGTGTGTGCCACAGTACCTGCAATAGTGAGGTTTCATTCTTAATCCCAGTGGCAATGGGAAGCCACAGGAGGGTTTTAAACAGGACAATGACAGGCTCATATTTGAATTTTATGGTGTCCCCCCTTGCCACTGCCAGCACTTTCTCTTATCTCTATAGGCATGTTAGAGATCATTATTACAGGGAGTTTTATGCCATTCTGCATTCCACTCTGTACTTAGCCTTGTACAAAGCAGGTGCTCCATAAATATGTGTTGATTAACCTCTCAGCAGCATGCAATGCTGTCGATCGCTCCCTCCCCCTTGAAGCCCTTTTTCTTTGGCTTCTGTGCTGCTACACACTGCAACTTCTCTCCTGCTCCGGGGGCTCCATCCTTCCCATTTCCCACTGTTTTGTCTTCACCCTTTTTCCTCTTTGCCCAAACTCTCTCCCTGGGTCATTCTGTGGCCTTCAAAAGTAGTGATGTCTTCCTTCTGGACTAAGCTTAACTTCCAAGAGAGCAGGGACCTTGTCTGTCTCATCATTACCATGTCACCAGAGTCTGGCAGACTATCAGCACACAGTAAGCTGATCCCCATAATTAGAAAAAATAAATAAATTGCAGTATTGGAGATTGAACTCAGGGTCTTATGCATGCTAAACACAAGATCCACCTCTCAGTTATACCTCAACCCCATCATAAATTATTTGAGAAGAGTACATATTGTACAACTCTATTTAGAAGAAGTTGAAGCACAAGCAAAATTGATGATGTCAGAATAATGGTCTCCTACAGAGAAATAATGACTGGAAAAGAGCACAGGGAACTTGGGGAGGAGAGGCTAGGAATCTTGATCTGTGGTAACAGCACAGGTGCATATGGAAAAGTACATAGGATTAGTGTTCTCTACGATGTGCAGTGTATCTCAATTAAAAGGTAAAAGGGAGTATAATATCATCACTCCTCTGAGAAGGGATGCCCCATTTCAAACTGTTTTATGTGTCCACCTTTAGGCCACCTCATTCATTATCTTTCCCAACCTCCCTAACCAGCTCTGCTAAGTCCTGTTCCCAGTGTTATTGCCACTATGCTCCCAGTCATTTAGTTTCCAAACGTCAGGGCACTCTTGTCCCCACACTACCACTTTTTTTTTTAATTTATTTTTTTAGTTTTCGGTGGACACAACATCTTTATTTTATTTTTATGTGGTGGTGAGGATCGAACCCAGTGCCCCACACATGCCAGGCGAGCACGCTACCACTTGAGCCACATCCCTAGCCCGTCACACACACACTACCACTTCTTATATCCTTCTTTACTCAGCTTTCCAAGATGCATGAACACAAGTGGTTGCATGCAATATTTTTTCATCATTATTTATTTTTTTTTAATTTGAGACAGGGTCTTCATAAACTGGCCCAGGTTGGCCTCAAACTTGCAATCCTCCTGCCTCAGCTTCCTGAATAACTAAGATTATAGGCATGCACCACCACTCCCAGCTATGGCACTGAATTTTAAGATGGCCCCATGATTTTCACCCCCAGTTATCACACCCATGTTCATGTCATATGGCAAATGAGAGATGATCTGGAAGGTCAATGTAATAAGAGCCTCCTAAAAGAAGAATTTTCTCTGACTACTGGCAGATGAGGAGTTTAGAGCTATTCAGAGCACAGGAATGGCACACCATTACTACTTTTAAGATAGAGGAGCCATGCCAGGTGCCATGGTTCCCACTTGTAATCTCAACAACTCAGGAGGCTGAGGGAGTAAGATTGCAAATCCAAGGTCAACCTGGGCAATTTAACAAGACTTTTGGCAACTTAGCAAGAACCTGTCTCAAAATAAAAAATAAAAAAGCTGAAGATGCTCAGTGATAAGTTACCCCTAGGTTCAATCCCCAGCACCAAAGGATTGGGGCAGGGGGTGGGGGAGGGAGAAAGAGCGAGAGCGAGAGAG